AGATAAAGAAATATTATTTCAACATTCAATGGGGATTTTGATATTTTGTGACTGCAAGATTTTACATTTTAAAGTAGATTGAAGAGCTGGGAGCAGATAATATCTGTTTTTATTGGAGAAAAGTACTGTTAGTAAAAAAAAATCCACAAACTTGAAATTTTTTGGTAATTTATGCTTGATTTTCTTTGAGTAAGTTCCTTCTCATGTTCAAACTATGTTCATTTAGGTCAAAAAATGAAAGACTCCAATACTACTTGAATATAAAAATAGAAAAGTGACTAAAGATTTTTGGAGTCCACTGAGGGTGCTAGCAAACAATGACAGAATTTGAGAGGGAGAGGAAAGATAAAAGACAATTGCAGGATTGCAGGATTTCATTTGCGTATAATTGTGATCCAGATAATACTATTCTTCCTTGTGGTCAAAATATGTTTTTCAATGTTTGTGTATGTACTTAATTTCAGGTGATATAAAAAAAGACTTCATTTATTTGACAGAAGAAATAGTAACACTGGGATAACATTTATAGACACGAGCATGTTAGCATTTGGAAAAGGCCAGACTTGTAAAAGACTCTAAAACCTTATTTTACAGAGGATTAAACAAGAATGAGAAAGTTGAAGTCTGAGCCAAACACATTTTTTAATACTCAGGCCAGAGTCCTTTCTAAAATATCACATTCTCTGAGCAAAGGTCACTAGTAGCAACAGTACATTGTTTGACCTGAGATACTTGAAAATGCCCCATATTTCAGGCATCTCAACTTTTTTTTTTCTGATTTACAGAATAAATTCTTAACATGTGCAGCACTTAACAATTCCTTAAAGGTTGGTATAAATGTCGATTTCTTGTGGAATAATTATGGGTTAGCAGTGTAGAATAATTTCAGTTTTAGAATACTGGGCTAAAATGCCATACATTAAAGACTAAGACATCAATATTAAAGAATGAGGAAAAAGTGGATATGAATTAACTGAGGGTTAAAAATACTCTTGCAGCTCTCTGATCACTGCAACATCTTAGTTATGAATTGGTATACAATCAGAGTTTGTATCTGGTCTAGCTGCTCCTGCTCTGATTTTTATGTGTTTTAATTTTATTCATTGAGTTTTCATAATATATATGCATACATATTTGTTTTATTGATTAAGGTACTGAGTCATAATACTGTTAATGATAGTTTTATATATACATAATTTTGTTACCCCATCCATCACCAGATGGATGTCCCCCAAATTCTTCCCCTCTCTTTCCAATCAACCTCCACTTCTGTTGTCTGTTTGTATGTGTTTTACGTTAAAGGTCTGTTTGTTTCAAAGGCTTGCCTTCATTAGAGACCTATATTTGGGCTGCTGGAATACATAATACAGAATGCTTGTGGTATTTCTGTCTACAAACCAAGACCTATCTCCATAAAGGCATGCATCAATGACAGGCTGCAAACAGAACATGAAGGTGAAGTCTTTTTATCATCATTGGGTAAATTTTGAGACATAACTCAGTCTAAACCTGCCCTGGTGATTCTGAGTTTTACTAGTATCTTTCTTTATAGTCCTTCCTCTTCTTAGTAACACTTTCTGGAGCATTCTCAATCATCACTAGTCCCTGGGTCTGCTTTGGGGTAACGGATCTAAGAGACAACTACTCACTTGTCAGGCATATCCATATCCATTTGCCCATCCATTTATATTTGATACTTCCTGTTTTCCAAATTCTTCTTCTTTTTTCCTCCTTCTCCTTGTCTTCTTTTTCCTTATTCTCTTCCTCATCCTTTTCATCCTTTTCCTCTTTCTCCTCTGCCCTCCTCCTTTTTCTTCTTCCTCTCTCTCTTCTTCCTCATCCTCTTCATGCTCTTCTTCCTTCTCTTTCTTCTTCTCCATTTTCTTTCTCCTTCCTTCTTTTTTTTTGATTTTGGGGCCAAACCTGGCAGTGCTCAGGACTTAATCTGGGCTCTGCTCAGAGAGATCACACTCAGCAGGTTCTGGGACCATATTGGAAGGTGGGGATCAAACACAAGTTGGTTGTTTGCAAGGCAAGCACTCTAATCTTTGTACTATCCTACCGGTTCCTCCTTTCTATTAGTTTCCATCATGTACCTCCACACCTCGCCCAACTCTAACCCAATAGAGAGCACTAGAAACAGCATGGTACATACCCTAGACCATCATACATTTCTCTATACTCATATAATCATATACCACCACAAACCTGGGGAAACATTTCATTTCAACAGTGGGATCATTTTTGTGTGTACTTTTGCTTATTTTACTGAACATTATTTAGATTCCCAGCAAAATGCAAAACAACAGTTTAAATAAAGAGATTTTACTATGATTTTTTTCATAACTGTAAGGTTTATAAAAATATTTTCTTGGAAGGAGAAGTCTTTATATACGCACATATATACATTATACAATTAGAATTTGAAGTCAGAGTTGGAAATTTTTAATGTTGTCAATCATTTAATGTACTCTGAAAGTTTGATATTCTATTCACTATTCATAGTGTTTTAATGTATGAAAGGATAATAGGTATATTTAGTTTGTATAATTACTTTGCTATTGTACTAAGATTCTACATTATATATCATATGAAAAATAATTCCTCAAAGCTTCCTGACATCATAATTAGTACTGATTGAGTACACGTTTAATCTTTAAGTCTGTTTATAATCAATCTTTACAATCCACTAGAAGAGCTACTATCTTTGTTTAATGTGAAGTCTGAAACATAGGAAGATTAATTGACTTTTATCTGACCATAAGTATAATGAGAGTTAGAGTGAGAAAATGAATTAGGAATCCTTGGCTTCCAACTCAATGCTCCATTAGCACTGGATTATCCTCTCCCTCCCTCCCTTCCTTCCCCTCCTTCCCTCCCTCCCCTCTTCCTCCCTCCTCCCTCCCCCCCTCTCTCCCTTCCTCCCTCCTTCCCTCCCTCTCTTCCTTCATTCTTTCCTTGCTTCCTTCTTCTTTCCTATATGGTCCAGAGAAACAGTACAGTGGTTAAGGTGCCAAGAATAAACACCTTTTAACATTGTCCATTATCAAAACTTGGATATTATGTAAAATATCATTCAGAAACTTTATATTTTATAATTCATTTCTGTTTGGCTCTTGGCTACACCCAGTGCTATTCAGGACTAACTCAGGTGCTTACAGGACCAACCATATGTACTGTTGGAAATTCAAATAGTGTAAGCTGTGTGGAAGTCAAGAACTTTAAAACTGGTACTTTCTCTGCGCTAAGATTTAAAATGTTTTATATTTTATATTTATATTTATAAAAACTTTTTGCTACAAAATTTGTATGAATTTTCTTGAATTATCAATGTTACAAGTTATCCTCAAAATTAGAAAGTATAAATTTGTATTAACCGAGTGATTTTAAATAGGTGAAACATAATTTTTACAGGACAAATATTTTCATTCTAAAAATTTGTTTATAAATATACATGCATTAATTTTTAAATGATTAAAATATTGACATAAAATATATATTAAAATTAGTGGACAAATATATCTATAGTTCTGATATTTATATTATAGGTTTCAATATTTGAAAGGATTGTCAAATAGGATTTCTGAGCACATTCTGGCCAGAATCATGATCTGTAATCTGCAATACAAACTAAGTTCAATAAATTCCTCCTTGTTTTAGACATTGAATTTATATGTCAATTAATAGTATTGATAATTTTCATTGACTACTCAAGTCAAATATGAATACAATCAAATTTAGAGAGTTGATATTTTTTCTCAAATTCACATTTGCTCAAAAAGAGTAGAAAGGTAAAAGGCTTCTATTTCTCTTCTTGACCTGTATTTCTTCATAGGAATTCTAAATTTATGATGTTTCATTAAAATTAAAGAAAGCAAATTGTTATTTCTTATTCTATACCAATGGATGATATATAACTTTTACATTTAAAGTAATTTTTTAATTAAAACTATTAATTTGTATTAATACATTTAACATATATATTGATATAGTCTATAGTGGCATTGGCACAATGAGGAATATTATAATTCTTTGCTAATGGACTATATACTTTCAATATTTATGCAACTATATAATATCTATGCAACTATAACTATAGCAGTGAGGAATAGAAAGGGGAAATAAAAAGATGGAGTATGAATACAATAAAGGTAATGAAATATGTAATTTGGAGGAAATTGCTTATTAGAAGCATTTTTAAATGAAAAAATGAAGAGAAAATGGAGAGAAAAGAGTTTATTTATCAACTAGATTATCTTTCTAGCTTCTTATATCGCAGTTAACCTAAATGTATGAAAAATTTGGATCTACAACTATTTCTATTTATACTAATCCATTTTATATATTATCCATACACTATATAATATACATCTATATTATGCAAATACATATTATTATATTTAATATACCTATATTATGTAGATATAAATATTATATAGTATTTAATTATACACTATAAACTGACCACTTGTTATTAATTATATTTTATTATATTATATAAGACATTATACTGATTATATTATATAATACAATATAATATATAATTACATATAATACAGATCTACATAATATCTTATGCATATATATAATATTACAAATTATAGTGAGTATAACTTTAAACTAATTTCCAGTGGATTGGTTTCATACTGCTCTCTTTAGGTTAGACTATATTTTCATTTCACTGTTTCTTCCAAATTTTAGACACAATATCATTTAACAATATAATCTAAAACTGTGAGTTGATTGAGTTGTTTTTTAGTATATTGCAAAATATCACTAGGATAAGTCATGAGTACAACATCTTGTTTTTAAATTGACATAATAAGACAAACTAAGAAATTATAGCACAGCTACAAATTATAGATTACTCAGAGATATAAGACTTATGAGGTTAGGCAAAAGAAAAAGATTTCAAATGAAAAAATATTTTCAATATGCTCAACATACACACGCACATACACACACACAGAGTGTTGTAGGAAGCTCCGAATAAGACCTACTTTCTCATAGTACTTGATCTCGTAGTCCAGTATGGCTCCACTGGAAAAAGCAGGTGCTTGCCATGATAGGGCAATGCTATTTTGGGATGCCCAGTCCTTCCTTACCATACCTATTAGGGAAGGTGCTGCAAGGAAAGAAAATAACTAAGAATTAATTGGCAGATTCATTCTTCATTATCCTCTCTTCAATATATATATATTTATTTTTTTTCATCAAGGAAAAATAAATTTTGTTGAAGAGATAATCAGTTGCTGGTGCCTTAGTAATAAGATAGCCTTACTACTCTATTCAATCCAAATAAAGTTTAAAATATATATCTAGAAACAATAGTATGAAACATAGAAAAACTCAATCCAAAAATCAGAACCAGACTCAACACTTTTTTTTTAATCACAGTATAATTTTCTTTAAACAGACTTTGATTTTGTTCTAGGACTTGAAATAAAGCACACTAAACTCCTATGTTTTATCAGACTTACTTACTATTAAAAATTATCTGTGATTTCAAAGGAAGTTTTAAACTTTGATTTCTCTTTAAGAATAAGCAGTTTAGGCGGCTGCGGGTGAAGGCCGCAGCAGTGAGGAGAGCGTGTCTCGACCCAGCACTTGGATTGAACTTCGTCATTTCCAACAGGGAAGAAATTTACATGGATTCTCTGGGCACTAAAGAGCAACTACAATGCCCCTATGATAAAAATCACCAGATCAGGGCCTGCAGATTTCCTTATTATCTTATCCAGTACAGAAAGAATCATCCTGATGTTGCGAACAAACTGCCTATTTGTCCCTTCAATGCCCGCCACCAGGTTCCTCGGGCTGAAACAAGTCATTGTATCTCAAGCTGTGATGACAAAAGTTGTATTGAGCAGGATGTTGTGAACCAAACTTGAAACCTGGGACAAGAGACTATGGCTCAGAGCATGTGACAGTGCCCTCCTTGCGATAAAGACTGGGATAAAGATTTCTGGGATCAGACCAGTACCCTATTTGTCTGGGGCACTGCCAACTACTGTGAAAACAACAGCACTGCAAGCAATATAGTTATGGAACATAAGAGTAACCTGGCTTTAGGCATGCATGTTCACAATTCTCTGCTGTATGTTCTGCCATGGAAAAACAATGGAAATGCACAGTAACTGAATATCTCATCAGATGCCTGTTTCTTCCTGCTACCAATGGGTTCTCCACTTTTTCCTAATCTAATTATAGAAAATTAAAGTATTTGTGATTTTCAAAAAAAAAAAAAGAATAAGCAGGTTATAAAGTCTTATTATACAGGTTGTGATTTTCAAAAAAAAAAAAGAATAAGCAGGTTATAAAGTCTTATTATACAGGTTATCCTAATCTAATTATAGAAAATTAAAGTATCTGTGATTTTCAAAAAAAAAAGAATAAGCAGGTTATAAAGTCTTATTATACAGGTTATAAAGTCTTATTATGGATAGAAACTTCTATCCAAAGCAAAATAGTTGATCATCTTACAACAACTTTGAATTATTTATCTTACAGGATTTATCGTGACATTCAAATAAATTAGAAATATTTAACTTCAGAGGCTTATTTTCAGATTCTCGTCTTTTTATCGTACATAACATGGTTTTAGCAATTTAAGTCTAGGTAAACTTATTACACTTTAAAAATATGATCTTATATATGCATACATATCATGGGCTAACAAAAGCTCTCTAAGAATCCTAGTTTTTAAAACAGTAGTTTCAATGCAATTTAAAACACATGAATAAAAAGAGAAACAAATTATGTGCATACTTTCTTTTTATTTTTTTGGAATTGATTCCAAAGATACAGTGCACAAATAAAGTGACATGTTTGTAAGAGAAATCACTAGACTTCTTTGTAAAACCTAAAAAAAAGTCAATTTCCATCAGTTCCTTGGGATTTATTAAAACCTTATGCTACATCTAAGGGGAACTATCAAGTTGTAAAAAAGAATTGTGACAATGTATTAATATTAAACAAAGCTATTTTATTATATGTTTTCAGGGGAAAAAAGTGAAGGTGGAGAAAATGTATAAAAAAGGATATCAGGATAAAGCAAAAAGAAAAAAAGAAAAAAAAGTAACCATAGGTCCTTTTATAATGTGGGAATAAATAGGATACACAATATCAGGTTAGAAGCTACAATACTGCATTAGATTTAGAAGCTAGACTATGAATATAAAATTTACTCCCAAACACAAGAAATGTTTTAAATAACTGTAGTACTGTAGCACTGTCCTCCCGTTGTTTATCTATTTGCTCAAGCAGGCACCAGTAATGTCTCACAACAAATTGTGAGACTTGTTACTGTTTTTGGCATGTAGAATTTGTCACAGGGAGCTTGCCAGACTCTGCCAAGACGGTGGAATACTCAGCTGGCCCAGCTCTCCCAGAGGGGCAGAGGAATCGAACCCAGGTCGGCTCCATGCAAGGCAAATGCCCTACCTGCTGTGCTATCGCTCCAGCCCTTTAAATAACTAGCAAACAATTATTAAAGAACATCTTTGAAAATTAAGAATATTAAAACAGGGCTCTGAGAGATAGGCACATGCCTTGCATGCAGCCAGCTAGGTTTGTTCCCTAGCACTCCATAGTCCTGTGAGCAATAACATTACTAGGTCTGACCCTCGAGGGCTCAGCACCATTTGGGTTGCTAGGTTATCCTCAGTACAGCCAGGCCCATGCAGCACCACATTGGTCTGTAGCATTGAAGCAGTGACCCGCAAGCAGAAGGGGCCCCAAGACCTCTTCAATAGAAAGTACTTAAGTAACTTTTAAGCACAGTAACTTGTCATACAAAAAGACATATTTTAAGGATTTGAAAAAAGGTGTATAATTTATTATTACACTGGTTTTAGTAACTGTTTTAGTGCTAGTATTGACTATTAGCATGTTTTGGGATCACACTGTAATTTCTACTCTTATAAATTAGAAATGTATTACAGAGAGGCATAAAAAAATAAGCAGTAGTGTCACTGTTACTAAAAAATGAGAATTACACCCATTCTGAGGAAAAAGGAGAAAAATGAAGGTTGAGTAAAAGCCATTTAGTTGTAAACACAAATCAGAAAAATCATTGTGATCTCAAAATATCATTCTAATTTATTCTTGGATTTCTTTTAAATTTGTCAATTGCAAGTAAAAATAAGATTTTAAAATAACTGAATTTTATAATTGAGATTAATATATTTTGCATTTCTAAGAAAAATTTGAGTTTTAAATTTGATATATTATTTATGGATACTGTTTTTATGTATTAAGGATAATGTATTTTTTTCTAATTTGAGAGGGTGATATTTGGTTTTTATAAAAAATAGGTTTATTTAAGAAAAATTTTGTTGGCTGGATCACACTAATTTTTGGGCCAGCCACAGCAGATTCCAGGACTAACTCCCAGTGATGAATGGGCAACCTGAACCATCTCCTCAGCCCCAAAGAACAGAACTTTAGAAACTTGAGTTTAAAGCCCTTTCCTACAGTTCAATGAAAGTCTGTTCTACAAACGAAAACAGAAGTGAATACTGTGTTAATTAAGAATAGTGCTAGATAATCCACTAAATTTAGTAAAATTCATCAGGAATAAATTACTGACAAACTAGTATTTTCTTGTTCTTACTGCACATGTTTTTTGTTTGTTTGGGGATTAAATGCCAAGGCATGGAGGGCTTCCTTCTGACTCAAGGATCAGTCTTGGTGGTGCTTGGGGGACCACACATAGTGGTGTGGATCAAACCTAGGTTGGCTGCCATACATGGCAAGTGCCTTACTTGCTGTAAAATATCTCTGGCCTATATTCTTAAATAATAGTATAAATGATAAAATGTTGCTACTTTATTAATTATAACTTTAAATGTATCTCATAAATAATTTTGGAATAAACATAGCAATTCTTTTAGGATTTTTAAATCCATGTATATTTTCAGCATCATATACAATATCATAAAGGCAGTATTAATACCTTGCGTATTGATACACAAATACTACAGTTTCTAATGATGTAGCATTCAAGATCAAATAATGCATTCCTTCATAGAGTTTCAATTATGACAAAACCATGCTAGAATGCACTCTTTTGGGATTGGGACTATCCAATAAAAAAAAAAGTGCTCAGAGGACCTGGGGGCCACTCCTGGCAATACCCAAACAACTGAGACATAAGCTTCATTGTTTAGTGCTAGCTCCTGAGAATGTGGAGCTATTTAAGCCCCAAAGATCTGCTAAACACTTTCAACAGGTGCTAGTAGGAAGGTCTGCAGTGTTGGGATCAGATAAGGTCAGAACATGCTTTCTATTTGATCCTGACTCCTGGGCCATCTCCTTTGGATTCTCCACTATCTATGGATTAATATACAGGTACTGTCTTTGTCTTTTTATTTTCAGTTCTTCAATGATTAAGTAACAGTACAGGTAGATGCATTATTTAAATATTATTAGTCCTTTCTTTTTCTTCCTTAGAAAGGAAGAAATAAAAATTAAAATAAATATAATTCCTAATATTAGAGTTTCATCACTTGTTTACATGAACTTGAGAATCCAAGATATACATAATTCTCAATATCTCTTTACTATTTTATCTATGAAATATTCCTATTGTACAGTTATAAAATATTATTCATATAATTATATCTCAACTACACAGTTTAAACATAAATTCTATTCCATATTTTATATGGTCATCATAATTGTTATACTAATGGTTAAAATATTCAATTGTGTGAATTTACCCAACTCTTCTTTAATGTAGGGTTTTCATTTTTTAATATTGTAGAATTATTTGGAGGTTCTAGCAGGGGAGCGCAGCTACTCGTATACCCTCGACCGAAGACCGGTCCGTCTCTATCGGGGAAGGCCGTCCTCTTCGACCGAGCGCGCAGCTTCGGGAGGGACGCACATGGAGCGGTGAGGGAGGAAGGGGACACCCGCCTAGCCAGCCAGATCAGCCGAATCAACCCTGGCGATCAATGGGGTGACAGATGTCACAGCCAGATCACCCTCACATCCAATTATAGTTCCCAAATATCATTTTACTTATCATTTTGAGGATTTTTTTTTCACACTCAGTAGTACTCATGGCACATTCCTGGCTCTGTACTCAGGAATTACTCTGTGAAAGGAGATTGCCTTAAC